AGCAACACGAACCCACCATAATCCGGGGTTGATTTCAAGTACATCGGGAGGGTAAGCAAATTCTGCTACACATGGCATTGACGTTTTGATGCTCATGTAAGTACTAACCCGGTGATAAATCTAATTCGGTAAGTCACATTCAAGGAAAGAGGACGGAAAATAGTATATAGAGTACATGTGTATGCACATATGAAACACAAAATAAATCATAATCTAACATCACGAAATAAGTGCAACCTCATAAATCAAAACAAGATCAAGGTCTTAAAATAAAGAAGTAGTTTACGAGAAAAGACTGTTAACAAGAACACACCTGTAACAAACGTGAAAAAAAAGATATACAAGGCAATCATAGACGTTTTACATAAATATACATATTCATATTGAGTATAAAATCTGATACTTTCAAGTCATATAACGCCTTCAATCTCCAGAATTATATCATGTGGTGATCGAATTAACAGAGATGATGATAACTTCAATTTCAACATTAATTTTCCATCATAAAATTAAAGAGACAATACCAAATACTAACAAGGTTCCTGACAATTTCCTTTGAAAAGCGTATCATGTCTGTAACAGCCAAGAAAACATTCACCAATGTTTTATTTGCAGAAGTATAAGATTAAGAACAGAAAACTGAAATTATTCTGATGATTTCAGTCCTAATTTAAGGAAATATTGTAGATAAGAATTTACTATATAAGTGATATTCCCGACTATTTATCGATAACAGCTTCACATATTATTTGCAAAACAAAATAAAGTATATACAAAGCCGGCAATCTTACATCAAATTGTGTTCGAAAAATGCCTGTCCCAAGTTATCTTAAGTTCTAAAATCATACAAGTTGGTACAACTGTCTCTTAAATTTTGTTTCGTACTTTGTCGTAGGTGATAGATATGTGTTCGTCTCAATGAATGCTTTTTTTATTTTCACTTACTTTGGAGCGATTCAGGACTTGCTGCATGCTGTTTGAATTTGTTAGAAACCGTTTGGTAACAAATCGATAACGTTTTAGGTAAAATTGTTAGATATTTGTTTCATTGACGTTGTTATCATCTCTTATATTCATACCTAAGTTTTGTTTTTCTCTTTCTATTACACATGTTTTATATTGTGTTTTCTTTCTCCTTATTTCTATGTAGCAACTGCTATAAACATAAATTTAAAAACAATTTTGAATTTAAATATGAATAAAAGAAATCATAGGAAAATGTCTAACGAGACTGCAAGAAAACGGCAAAAAAGTATAAACATAGGAGGAGCTTTTTGTTATAAATCAGTTGTTTATTACAACACTTAATAACCGATGTATACCCCTGTTCCAGGTTAAGGGGAAGATTGAATGCTTAAAAAAATTTAAGCCCGCCAGATTCCTTTTTTTTTGTAGTTAAATTCCGCCAAATTTTAGACATAATGTCATGTGAAATTTCGCTCTATATTTGGTTTTCAACAATAGAAAACAATATTATTATCATTATTATTATTATTATTATTATTATTATTATTCAATGTAATTTTTACAATTTTTTATCATCTTTTTTACAAGAACCTTCTAAAAGACAAAAAGAAAAAGCACCTTGTGAAATTCTTTAATTTTACTTCCAGATATATTGATGATGTCCTATCACTGAATATCCCATATTTCAGTCAGTACTTGCATCTCATATATCCCAGTGATCTTGAATTTAAGGATACTACTGATACTAGAAAAACTACTTCATACCTTGATCTTTTCCTTAATATTGACACAGATGGACGACTTCAGACTAAAATCTATGACAAACTAGATGATTTCAACTTCCCAATTATCAATTTCCCATTTCTTAGCAGTAACATACCCTCTGCCCACTCGTATGGTGTTTACATATCTCAATTGATACGTTATGCTCGTGCATGTTCACACTATACGGACCTCATATACAGGAGTGTGCTCCTTATGCAGAAATTGCTCCAACAGAGTTACGAGGAGGAAAGATTAAAATAACACTCCGTAAATTGTATGGACACCATCACAAATTGGTTGATCTATACGATGTTTCTGTGTCTAAACTAACTAACGACATGTTTACTACGTCTTAGATTGTGCTTTACCATCTAAGTCGTCTGGTCTGCTTAGTACCGAACGTGACCTATTCCCATAATGAATGTTTTGCCGAGTGTGAATTCGCATTGCTATACGACGACTTTTTGTGATGTTAATCCATTCATGTTACGCGCAGTTTATATTTTGTTTGTGGTGTCCTGGTGTGCTGTTGTAGATTCATGGGAGGTGTCCGTTGTTTTCCTGCGGTTTACATGTTGTAATATACTATTATATTATTTATTTGTGTATTTCTCTGTGCTGAGTGTTCTTGCGTTTGTTTGTACTGTATACTTGTCACGTAGTTTTGTCATTTTAGCGGTATTTTAAACATTGCCATATATGCGGGATGTTTGGCTAGCGATAAAACCAGGTTCAACCCACCATTTTTTCTTAAAATGTCCTGTACCAAGTCCGGAATATGGCAGTTGTTATCAGACAGTCATTTTCTATGTATTGGCGTTTGCTTTTGTTGTAGTTCAGTGTTTCTTTTGTTCCGTTGTTTTCCTCTTATAGTTGATGTGTTTCCCTCGGTTTTATTTTGTTACCCGAATTTGTTTTTGCTTAATCGAACTATGACAATTGAACAGCGGTATACTACTGTTGCCTTTATTTGGCACTGAGCGTTTTACATTTAGTTTAAACAGTATTCATTTATGTAAAATTATAACAATGAAAAAGTACGATTTTACATAAAACTCAAATATGGGATTGGGAAGCAAGTTTGGAAAAACTTTTATAAATCCGTCTCACGAAAATCCCAAATTATTTGACAACCAATATGACGTGTCAACAGTGTATTCAGTTTAAGGTAGCATATAATAAATTTCAATAAATACCAAACAAAAAAACCAAACAAAAAACAAAGAAACATTTAACTTTTATTATCTTGATAGACAGTCACTGGAACAACTACACATGTCCGATTATAGTCGATTACGCGCGATCCTCTCGATTTGAGATCAATATTTATTATGCAACATATACAAGGTCAACTTTCAATACGTTTTGTTCTATTTTTATATTCAGGAACTTTATGAAATATTTGCCTATTGTCCTAATCAGACTTAAAACTGTCCCAATATAATATAATCTTAAGGTTGATACAAGATACTGTCCCGATAGTATCACTACGAATTTCATTATATTTTGAACATTTGAGGAAGTAATGAGAGGTATTTTCTACGTGACCACAGGAACACAGTGCGTTTTCTATAAGATTTTTTTTTAAATAGATGGTCCCTTAGAACACTACTCTGGAGTCTGAGTCTTGCAAAACATATACTTTTTTTATACGTTTTACACTTATATCTGAAGGTCAGAATCTTTAATAGAACTGTTAAAACATAAACAAGGAATGAGGTGTCAGATTGACAGCAAACCGGGTTTCCTGTTTTTTTTAAGGCGCTTGCAGGCTTTTTTGACCTGCCACATTCTATAAAATTGAGAATGGAAATGGGGAATGTGTCAAAGAGACAACAACCCGACCATAGAACAGACAACAGCAGAAGGTCACCAACAGGTCTTCAATGCAACGAGAAATTCCCGCACCCGGAGGCGTCCTTCAGCTGGCCCCTAAACAAATATATATACTAGTTCAGTGATAATGAACGCCATACTAAACTCCAAATTGTACACAAGAAACTAAAATTAAAAATAATACAAGACTAACAAAGGCCTATTTCGAATCTATCAAAGACTCCTGAAAGTCAAAATCGTTAATATCAAACTTGACCACCATTTTCTCATCTGTAACAGCATATTAAAATTTTAAGAGCATTGGCTGAACGGTTCATCACTTATTGCATTAAAGCGACATAAGGTAGTCATTTTCAATGTATCAAGGACCATAACTCTTGAACCGCTGAAATGAAAATCGTCAATATTGAACTTGACCACCATTTTGACATCAATGAAGCATATCAAAACTTAAAGAGCATTGCTTGAACGGTTTACAAGTAATTGCACGGAAACGATATAAAATGCCAGTTTACAATCTATCAAGAATCATAACTCCTGGACGGCGAAAGTGAAAACCATAAATATCGAACCTGAACTCCATTTTTTCATCAGTTACAATATATTAAAATTTTAAAAAGCATTGTTCAATTGTTTCATAAGAATTTGCAAGGAAACGACATAATGTGCCATTTTCAAACAGATCAAGGACCATAACCCCTGAACATTAAAAGTGAAAATCGTCAATATCAAACTTGACCTCCATTTTGTCATCAGTAACAACATATTATAATTTGAAAAGAATTGATAGAAGGTTTTATAAGTTATTGAACGGAAACGACATAAAGGATCATATTCCAATATATCAAGTACCATAACTCCAGAACGGTAAAGTGAAATTCGTCAATATCGAACTTAATCTCAATAATGTCATAAGTATAAACGTATTAAAAGTTGAAAGGCATTGATTAAAACGTTTCTAATGTATTGCGTAAGTACTTCACCAATTCAATAACCCGATTTTTCCTTAGATCCTGGTCTAAATTACTTACCTTCACCTTGTAATGAACGTCTGGATTGAAATATTACAGAAATATTTGTATATGTTACTTTTTTTCCGTTAGACTAAAGAATTTGTACATATGTAAATTATGATGTTCCATTTTTATGTCGTTAATTTATAGTTGAAACAAAATAAATGAGATATTATGTATATTGTCTAAAATTTATAGCTTACTATATGGTATGGGTTTTTTACATTTTGAAGGCCGTTTGTGATTATTGTGGATAGTTGTTTCATTGGCAATCATATCACATCTCCTTATCTATCTATCTATCTATATATATATATATATATTGTCTAAAATTTACATATAGAAATTTTTAGAATTGATACTATTCTGATTTTAAAATATATAATTCTGATTTAACAGTACATGATTTTAAAACAGAATGGAAAAGTACACTATTCGTAGAATGTTACCAGGAGACTGTGAAGATATCCTTGCAGCAATTAAGGTATGTAATTTACCAAAGACATATTTCTGTTCAATATCCGCAGATTGTCGGTTAAATGTCTTGTTAGCACAAAGAGTTGCATTTGTAGACAGTATGTAATCAGAATTATTAAGATATCTACTTTTTGTCTATAAAAATTATGTTTGCATATATTAAGACAATTGTAATTGCTGATGAACAGTAAAAATGAATATTTCAGTTTGGATCTTTTAAATCTTACTTTTCACATTGCACAAATTTGATTCTGAGGTGTTTAACGTTGTTTTTGCGTATAAATGGTTAACAAAAGGAGTGACGACAATGTCTTAATGACGTGATTCACTACCGGATTAGTAGGGCTTGAGTAGGTTTAGTTTGTTTTCTTCCACACAATATTTCGGATGCCTAATCACTTATTATAACTTATCAACCTATTTTTAAAAGTAAAATACGGGTGTCACATGTAACACCTTGGCCCTCGGTCATAAAACTTTTCTCAGTACTCGGATTACAAAATTTGTGCTCGAAACACCAAATCCAGTATTTTGATTGGTTGGTTTCTGAGTTTGAGTACGATAATCGTGCTCGAAAATCTATGACCACAACGCCTGAAATCACCACAGGTTTTGATGACATTCGTGTTGCTCAGTCTTTAGCTTTGTATGTAGTGTTTTGTCTTTTCGTCGTTTTTTCGTTTTTTCCCCATAAACATATAAAGTTGTTTCTTGAGTGCGCAAGTACTTTCCAATGCAAATTTTACTTAAAGAATTGATGTAAAACAAGGAAAATCTAGATATTTTACATATTTTGTCATGGTTTGTTGCCATGGTAACTCGTCAAATGTGATTTTTTTTTATTATCTAAATATCTTTTACCGAAGTATTTTTAGGACAAGTTTAACATCACCTATGGTACTTTTTTAATTTGCAATAATATTTTGTCCAGGGGTAGGTGTAATATTTTCCATTGCCATAATATTTTGTGTAAGAAAGTGATAGATATCTGGGGTTCATAGATGACAAGTACATTGTTGCAAAAAAACCAATCTGTTTCAATCAACAAAACTTTTTATTTCAGAAGGTTGACATGAGCGTTTTGAGTTTGAATAATTAAGACAAAAACTTGAGAAGGTCTTGAAAATATGTTAATCCTTTTCAAAGTTAAAGCTACAGGAATGACATTAGGCGAGCCAGACAGTCGAATAAGCATCTGTTGTTTTTGTTAATACTACTTATTTATATCAGATTATTTTTAGTCGAATTAATAAAAGTTATCAGTGTTTAAAATTCAAAGTTTTAAGTTTAAATATGTCGGTTAAATATTTTTAGGTTTTTTACCTTATTAAAATTCCCTGTTCTGTTGTTTATCAGACAGCTTATACAGTGTACAATAAATGGTGACCATTAAATAAACTCATCATAGAAACCAGGATTGAAATTTTGTTTTTGCGCCAGACGCGCGTTTCGTCTACAAAACACTCATCAGTGACGCTCGAATAAAAAAAAGTTAAAAAGCCAAATAAAGTACGAAGTTTAAGAGCATTGAGGACCATAAATTCCTACATGTTTTGCCAAATACAGCTAAGGTAATCTATTTCTGAGGTAGAAAAGCCTAAGTATTTCAAAAATTCAAAGTTTTGTAAACAGTTTATTTATAATTATGACCATATCAATGATAATTCATGTCAACACAGAAGTGCTGACTACTGGGCTGGTGATACCCTTGGGGAATAAAAACTCCACCAGCAGTGGCATCGACCCAGTGGTTGTAAATAAACTCATCATAGATACCAGGATTGAAATTTTTTTTTTGCGCCAGACGTGCGTTTCGTCTACAAAACACTCATCAGTGACGCTCGAATAAAAAAAAGTTAAAAAGGCCAAATAAAGTAAGACGTTGAAGAGCATTGAGGACCATAAATTCCTAAATGTTTTGCCAAATACAGCTAAGGTAATCTATTCCTGAGGTAGAAAAGCCTTAGTATTTCAAAAATTCAAAGTTTTGTAAACAGTTAATTTATAATTATGACCATATCAATGATAATTCATGTCAACACAGAAGTGCTGACTACTGGGCTGGTGATACCCTCGGGGAATAAATTACCGTTAAACAGTTATTTGAGTAAAAAAGTTTGCCTTCTTCCCTTTATTTTGACTACAAAATTGCTAAACAGGTCAAATGTGGCCAAATATATCAAGTCAAACAGTAACAATCAGAAAATATCAAATGTTCAATAGTTTTTGTATTTCATGTAATTGGTAACAACGAATGCAGGTTTGTTTTAGCATTTTGGACGATTTTTCATGGAGTGGTATATATTTTAATTGTGAGAAGATTTCAGAACAATTAAGCTGAAAACATGATAATATTTAGAAATATAATACCAAGGGTTTTTTGTGATGTTCTATTCAACTTTTCTACACTTTACACAAGTATTCCCCACCAAACTAAAAGACAAATTGAAAGAGTTGGTCCTGCTTTGTTTCATAAAAAAGTATGACCAACGTAGATAAAAAAATATCATGTCTTAGGGAGGGACGAATAGTACTTTTAAGGTTTTATGCTTGTTAAAACGTTTAAACCCGCTGCGTTTTTATGCACTTGTCCTAAGGCAGGAGCCTGTTGTTCAGTGGTTGTCGTTTTTTTGTGTGGTTCATAAGTGTTTCTCGTTTCTCGTTTTTTATATAGATTAGACCGTTGGTTTTCCTGTTTGAATTGCTTTTGCTTTACGCTAGTCTTTTTTTGGTCCCTTTATAGCTTGCTGTTCGGTGTGAGCCAAGGCTCCGTGTTGAAGGCCGTACTTTGACCTATAATTGTTTACTTTTTACACATTGTGACTTTGATGGATAGTTGTCTCATTGGCACTCATACCACATCTTTTTATTTATATTTGCTAAAAATCACTCCGATTCAAACAAAAAATTTTCTGAAACTGACATTATCAAGATGCTTGATTTCTTGATTGACAACATATTTGTTACGTTTGGAGGACGTGTTTTTCAACAAACAATCGACATTTTCATGGGAACCAACTGTGCCCCTCTTCTTTCCGATTTGTTTCTTTATTCATCTGAGGCTGCTTCATGCAGGAACTTCTTAGGAAGAAAGAAAAGACGTTAGCTATATCCTGTAACTTATTTTTCCGCTATATAGATGATGTTATCTCACTAAATAATTCAAAATTTGGTGACTATGTTGAACGCATCTATCCCATCGAACTTGAGATAAAGGATACAAAGTTCTGTCTGCCTCATATCATGACTTTCATCTAGAAATTGACAATGAGGGTCGTTTGAAAACAAACTTTACGACACAAGAGATGATTTCAGCTTGAAATCATCGCTTTGTAAATTTTACGGACACCATCATCAGTTGGTTGACTGTTATGGAATATCCGTTTTACAGATGACATTTATATATATGATATATTCCTTTTGTCGTAACTACAATCCCGTCACCTGTTCCCTGAATGTGACATACCGAATTAGACTTATCACCGGGTTTGAACTAACATGAGCAACACAACGGGGTCACGTGTGTAGCAAGATCTGCTTAGCCTTCGGGAACACATGAAATCACCCCCAGTTTTTGGTGGGGTTTGTGTTGCTCAGTCTTTAGTTTTCTGTGTTGTGTTTTGTGTACTATTGTTTGTCTGTTGGTCATTTTCTTTTTTAGCCGTGGTGTTGTCAATTTGTTTTCGTCTCTCTTGAAAACGTATTGTTCTCTTGCATATTGGAAGCCATCATTAAGTGTATGGTGTTGTATTCCAAGTACCTTATGTCAGCCATCTTTAATTTGGCGTACATTTTGGTTTTTTTTTTCGTGGCTCCATTAAATAAAAGGTTCATTAGCATCATAACTAACACTGTGCAAAGTTTAATGTTTTTACCATAAAATGATCAATTATGCCATTATATCGGACTTTGCATACATACATTAGAAGTCTGATTGATGAGTTAATTGTGTTTTCTGTAAGAAGGGATATGGCTTCCATCCCCTTACAAATACGTAATATCCTAATTCAACTCTTAGGATGTAGAATGTAGATCATAACGTTGCATGTGTTTCGATTGTATTTTTTTGTTACAGGAATTAGCTACAGCTCTAAAAGCTGAAGATCAAGTTATGATCAGTGAAGACAGTAAGTAATTAATAAACAAAATGAGAGGTCAAAGGGATCATTTAAACTCATAAATTGGAGACAATCGGACATAGCATATTTTTATTTTCTCCGCATTACCGCGAAAGAGGAAAATAGTTATAGTTTTTATTCGTCTGTAACTGAATCTATCTGTAACACTTTTTTTAACCTTACTAAGCCAAATAAATATAAAATATTAATTCCTGAAATAACCAACGAAAACGAAGACTAATTCAGGTGATCTACCGAACATAAAAATATTTCTTTGATTAAGGTCTTAATTTAATCAAATTAGATGATAAACGTGTCTAATGAACAGTTAAGCCTTTTTCAACTGATTTTTATAGTTTGCTCTTCTGTTGTGCTGTTACAACACTGTCCCATGTTAATGGAGGGTTGAGCCCTCACAAACATGTTAAACCCCGCCACATTCTTTATGCGCCTATCCCAAGTCAAGAGCCTGTATTTCAGTGGTTGTCGTTGGTTCATGTCTGTCATATTTGTTTTTCGTTAATGTTTTTGTTATAATTTAGGCCGTTAGTTTTCTCAATTTAATTGTTTCATATTTTTCATGTCGGGGCCTTTAATAGCTGACTATACGGTATGGGTTTTTTCTCATTGATGAAGGCCGTACGGATGCCTATAATTGCTTACATCCACTTTATTTGAACTTTGGTGGATAGTTGTCTCATTGGCAATCATACCTCATCTCCTTATTTCTATGATGATAAAAGGTAACTCTTCTAAACAAAAACGAAATACAAAAATATGCAGAGTGAATTCGCTGTTATTGTTTTAAAATGATTATCAGTTGTCTCAATAAAAACTTCATATTTGAGTGGCAGCTTAATTTTGCAATACATTGAAATATATTTTCCGTAGCCTCACATGTTTCTTGTGGCTCAGTCTTAGTTTTCTATGTTGTTTTTTGTAAACTGTTGTTTGCCATGGCATTGTCAGTTCGTTTTCGACTCATGAGTTTGACTATCCCTTTTGGTGTCTTCCGCCTCTCTTTAAACTATAGTACAACTTGTCAAGTTTTTTTTCTAGTTTTGATTATGACCACATGTAATATTGAAGAACAAAAACCTTTTTTATGTAAGTAAATGATTGATGAAGCTATAGGCTGTGGTGGCAATGTTTGCAAATTATCATTTCCTAGACCAATGACGCACTATGACTGGTTATTTTTATGGTTTTCATTAGCACATATTATCTGCTTTAAATATAGGCTTAATAAAACTTTAAAAATCCGGTTTATCTACCAGCATTATCATAATTGCAAGCACCATTATGAATGTGACAAACATTGATGATGAAGAGGTACAAATAAAACAGGATATAGCAGAAAACAGCTTGTTAACTACACTAAATAGTCTACAATCACTAAGAGCTAATCCTTATAAATGTTAATCAGTAACATCATATTTACTGCTCATACTATTAAAAATGCAAATGATGTAAATTTCTTGTTAGAAATTATTTGTTTTGCACCCAATCATCTCATGAATGAATTTGATGTGACGGCTTGTTCTTTGAGTATGACAATAAACATATGTGGTATGATTTCCAATGAGAAAACTATTCACTACAGTACAAATGACGTTAATGTGTGCAATTATAGGTCATCGTACGGCCATCAACAATGGGCAAAACCCATACAGTATAGTCAGCTATAAAAGGTTCCTTACATGAGAAAAAGTTAAACAATTCATACGAGATAGTTTTGAGACTATTGTTATTCGAAGCAGCAGAGGAAATTTTGAACAGAGTAGCAATCTTATATCTATAAATGTCTTTTCCAATGGGATAGGAACAACGTTCGTTTTTTGTAATGTTTTTCCGCACTTTTCACATTCTATTGATATTTATGAATTATCAATTATCAATATCAATATAATATATATCACTAAGTGTTGATCAGTGGTGAGCATTCACGGAGAATCCAGAATCAATCCAATCAGTCATCATTGGTTAAATAGTTCGAGAAAAGCTCGCTGGACGATAATTTCTTGGAATGTTGAATAAAAGTCGGGGCTTTTCGGTAAAAAAATGGTTACAACATACCATGGGAAACGTTGGAAATCATAAAAAAATTATGTATAAGAAATATATAATCTAACAGTTCAGGCAATTATATATTTTCAGTTCTTCTAAGCGATGGGTTTGGAGAGAAAAGTCTTTTTGATTGCTTTGTTGCAGAATATGAGAATGGTAAATATTATACATAGACAATCTTGGACGGAGATAGATATCTGTTCGTACAATAAGAAGTTAAAGCTAGTATCAACTAACTTTTTTCCTTTTCGAAGCGAAATAAATTCATTTCATATTTTTTGGATGTTTTTGTCAAGCTATTTAGCATTTATTTAAAAAAATCTCAATCGCTATGCTTTAATTTTTTTATCGGCATTGCTTTATTTTTTAACCCATAAATCAAAATAAACTGTGTCATTAACCAGTTGTTTTGATATTACCGTTTGCTCAAAATGGAAGCATGTTTTGTTAATTTTTTCAATTGTTGGATAGTTGCAGGATAAAACAAGTTAGACGACTCTACATGCATGTATATGGAAAGAATACTACAACGTTAAACCAGTATATTAATGGTTCATTTAAATATCAACAGGTGAAATTTTGTTTCTAATGGGGTTCATGTCAATATTTGTATAACAGGGTTTCTATCACTGGCTGCCAAGCGTTTCTAGTGAAGTTCAATCAAGTATCAAATACAACAATCATTTTGTTTTTGTTTGTAAAAGATCGTCATAAATGAAAAGAAATATTGGGTATACATCGATGACACAACAAACTGAACTTGGTGACCAGTGCTCGATATTATCGTGTTTTTTCACTGCTTTGAAAAAAGAAAGAAAACCACATTTTATAAATTCTATGTGTCCGAAGCTTTTTTCTGGATTTACTTTCATCAGGAACGCTTAAAGCCGAATATTAGACAGCCAAGGATGTATAAGAACCGACGCAGTTGAAGAGCTAAAAATAATAGCCAAATCCATCTAAGGTCAACTTTGCATAAGGGTGTTGAAACCTTAGTTTATATTTTTTATAATTTATAAAAATAATATATAAATTTATGAATGGACAATTTAAGAAAGGTTTGTTATAACTCATGCAAGTATCAAAGTAATGAGTACAGATCTGATGATACCCACAGGAACTGTAGTCCACCAGTAGCGTAATTGACATAGAGCTGTAAAAAATGAAAACAACACTTCATAGATTTCAATATAAAATGGTTATAATTAGTATAAGTTGATTTAAAGGACCGACAAGATTACATGGATGGTTGTAAGCATGAAGCAATTGCAGTAAAAAAAAATAATATTTCGAATAATCTTATACTGCGATTGACATTTGTTCAAAGGCATTAAAAACAAGGTCTAAATGTAAACACTCTTTTCAAGGAACAAAAGTTTTAATAACGTATGGTTTGATCTACCAACTTCCATCGTAATGATATTTTGTAGCTTATTTGTTCATAAATAAAGGCAACAGTAGTATACTGCTGTTCAATAGTCATAATTCGATTAAGCAAACACAAATCCTGGTAACAAACTAAAACCGAGGGAAACACATCAACTATAAGAGGAAAACAACGGAACAACAAAAACACTGAACTACAACAAAAGCAAACGCCAACATACATAGAAAAGGACTGTCTGATAACAACTGCCATATTCCTGACTTGGTACAGGACATTTTAAGAAAAAATGGTGGGTTGAACCTGGTTTTATTGCTAGCCAAACCTCCATCTTATATGGCAATGTTAAAAATACCGCTAAAATGACAACACTACGTGACAGGAATACAATACAAACAAACGCAAGAACACTCAGCACAGAGAAATACATAAATAAATAATATAATAGTACATTACAACATGTAAACCGCAGAACAACAATGGACACCTCCCATGAATTTACGACAGCACACCAAGACACAAAAGACGAAATATAAATCATAGCATTGTTTCTGTGGTTATTTGACTATTATTATCTGTTCTGAAAAGACCACTAGAATTTATTTCTTAGATGAGTGAAATATTTAGGAAAAATAATAAAAAAAAAACCAACAAGATATTAAAGAGACATGATAAAAGTTGTATTCCACATGAAGATTCAGCTATCAGCTATGCACAATGCAAACTAGTTCCCTGAACTGTGCAAGTTGTAAAGGCTTTGTCCTATCAAATGCCAAATTGTAGTTTAAATCATCTTAACAAGCTAATCAACTGGTAAAATATTTTAGTTCATTGCTGAAGAAAGTTTGTCAGTAAAAAGCATGTACAGTGTAATAAACGTTATACTTTTACCCAATTTGCAGAAATAAAATAAAGATTAACTGAGATACGGACTTGATCACTGATTGATGAAATGAAGTCGAGGTCAGGTGAACGCTGTCTTATGTTCGATGGTTGTCATTTATTAATGTGGTTCATACGTGTTTCTCGTTTTCTCGTTTTTTATATAGATTAGACCGTTGGTTTTCCTGTTTGAATGGTTTTACACTAGTCATTTTCGGGGCACTTTATATCTTGCTGTTCGGTGTGAGCCAAGGCTCCGTGTTGAAGGCCGTACTTTGACCTATAATGGTTTACTTTTACAAATTGTGACTTGGATGGAGAGTTGTCTCATTGGCACTCATACCACATCTTCTTATATCTATGTAGAATTGCAGGGATCCCATGTACAAAATTCATATGTCTTCTTACTCATAATTAGTGAAAAATTCTTATAACAAAACAACTGTACAGTTTTTAGCAGTCGTTGAACCATAAAAATGAGGTCAATGACAGATGGAGTCTTTGTAACATAGCCCATCTGTATTGAACGTATGAAGCATCCAGGTCAAATTTGAAACATTTTAAGCAACTACTTTAAAATAAGGAACGCTGGTTTGAAAAAAAGTATGACTTCTATCAAATCGACATTTCATGAGCAATTACTTTTTTTTTCTTTACCAATAAATTATTGCTCTGTAATTACTGATACGCTTATATAAAAGGGAGATACTATATTTGATTTACAGCAGAATCAATGACATGTAATCTTTATGTCATATACTAAGTACAACGACTATGATCCTATAGCTATAAAAACAGGTTTAATCTACCGTTTTCTACATATGGAAATGCCTGTACCCAGTCAGGAATATGACAGTTGTTTTCCATTCGTTTGATGTGTTTGAGTTTTTGATTTTGCAATTTTATAAGGGACTTTCCGTTTTGAGCTCGGTATTTTTGTTATTTTAGTTTTTAATGTTTACAATGTTCTTTTACGTTAGTGTTTACAACAGTTTTCTTCTTCAATATTTTAAATCATCTTGCAAACAAATTTCAATTTCCCTTTAAGAACAAAGTATAATAGTTTAATAACCACGCGGAGCCAATTTTAAGAATGAATAAAACTGTTTCTTATAACTAAGAGTTGACAATTTCCCAGAGCTTTTCTAATAACGTTGTTAATTACAGAGTTTTATGGTTAGTATAATCCTAATTACACTGCACTTCTTTCACACTAACTACATCTCATATGAGTAATCAGGTAAAATATTTAACCAGTTGGTCATTTGTAAGGATGAATTCAAACTGCAATTGGGTAAATTAAGGCAACAGTAGTTTTCTAATGTTCAAATCACATAAATCGAATAAGAAGAGAAATCAGGGTAATAAACAAATTAACTCCGAAAGTAAGAAAGGGGGCGTCGACAGGGTAATTGTCTCCTGCTATGCATGCATTCCCAGCAATGCAAATCCGCACTCATTCAAAATGTCACAAACGGCAATAGGACACAATCGGTAAATTACAGATCAGATGAATATTCTTGTATCTAAAGATCTGACACAGCAAAACCATGTTGTTATTTAGTTGTGACACAGAACCATCGTAACGGTCAACCAATTAGTGTTTTGTAGTGTCCATTTTTTTTTCCCTTTCAACTCTGTTGAAGCAGTTATTGTATTAGGAGCATATACCCGTTAATGAAGTCCGCATAGTGCAAACATGCACAAGCGTAACGAATTAACTGAGATATGAACATGGATTCAAATGACGGGAAATGCATGCATATCAGGAGACGCTTACGTCATGCGATGTGACAGATGGTATGAAACAGGATATTGACAATTTTAAAGTTGAAATCATCACCTTTGTCATAGATACTAGTTTGAATTCTGAATCTGTGTCAATATCGAGGAAAAGATCAAGATATTATGCAGACCTTTTAGTATGGGCAGTATCTTAAATTTCAAGTTCACTAGGATGTAAGAGAGCACTCGTAGAAATATGAGTTATTGAGTGACAAAACATTATCAATATATCTGAAAGTGAAATAAAAAAAAAAAAGATTTTTTTCCCCTTTTTTTCTTCTTTGATAAAGCTCTGTATGTATTTCGCTTCTTATGAGTACACAAACAAGTCGGCCAGTAGGGGTGCAGAATTAGAAATTGTTATACCGTTACACAAGTACTTACTTTGATAGTACTGAATAAACTTGTCTATCTAACATGTATAAAGAACCTGGTAGAAATATGATTTTTAAATGTAATTCAATTACTTCAGAGTTTGATATTAGTACAGTCCTCCTAGTTCTTGAAAATATGAATATTCGAAGTTTTGAACTAATCCCGGTTAACATTTTGTTACATGAAAACTTAACATTTTTCAATTTATCAATTCCAGCAGTGATATTTTGCTTACAGTTTTAGAAAATTTATATATATATATATATTTCAGCCATAGTTGGTTATGTATTGTACTGTACTATGTATTCATCGTGGGTAGGAAAAAAGGTATTTATGGAAGACTTGTATGTGAAACCTAATCACCAGCGAAATGGGGTTGGTACCAGACTGTGGAGAACAGCTGTGAAGGTACTGACTTAAATTTTTTAGCTTATATTTTTATAATATTAAGAAAAATAATGATGATCATTTCAATGTCGATAAAAAAAGACCATGGAAAAGGATGGAAAATTTTCAAAGAAGAGGTTGTATTTACCGAGTAGAAATTATCTTAGATTGACCATAACATAGACCAGACTGACAAGGTAAAGTACATTACCATTCCTACTCAGTGAATTATTCTTTTTTTTTTCTTGACGTATCAATCACGTAGTTCTTACATGATTTGTAATATTAATTTAGTTTTGATTAATTGGAGTAAAACTAGACGCTCTCTGAACACAATGTATTGTTTTTTTAAATTGACAATATCGAGGCAGCAGTTTTTATAACATGAGAAGAGAATAATTTACAAAAGGCCGCCAACGAGACAAGACATTTTATTGACATTCGGCAAAGCACTGTAACTTCATTTTCAGATATATTGATGATGACCAATCACTCCATAGTTTTTATTTAATCGAATTAAATCAAGCCTTGAAATATTAAATGTTAGAACATACCCTTGGTGTAACCTTTAGTCAAAAAGCTTAAATATGGAAAACGACTTAAATTAACAAGTTTTGATGTAATGAGTTCCGTAGATTTGTAATAAACCAAAGAGTTAAGTCATAAAGATTTTATCACGAGTTTAAAACATGCATTATAAACCTTACATGGGGAAAAATATTCCCATTCATCTATATTTCAAATTCTTTCACGTCCAATCTATAGCATATAACCATTCTTAATCATTTGAAATATTCCAAATGCTGGGTGTTTTGCTTTGTTAAAAGACTTTTGCCATAGAATGTACTAGTCATGTGACCAGTTTTTAAAGTACGGGTTTAACGTAAATGTAGATAGAAATAATGTTGCTTTTAATTTTTTCAAATGTTACATTTTAATTCAGGAATGTTTTCTTCATGCATAGCTCTGATCCGGGTTTGGCTTTATTCTGTTTTTAACAGTTCTTCAACATTCGTATAGTTTTTGTTTAGTTTTTTTTTTACTTTCCAATCTTTCGGCCTCGATCATCACTGAAGAGACATTGTTTGTTCTGACTTGGTACAGGCATTTCCTTGGGTTAAAAATGGTCGATTAAACAATCCGCCTATATCAGATATTGAACAAGTCTATGTATATTGTGTTGTTCACACATTGTTGTAAATATAAGGGAATTGTATGCAACTGTCATACAAGTAAGATGTTTAGCTAGCTATAAAACCAGGTTTAATCCTTCATTTTCTACATAAGGAAATGCCTGTACCAAGTCAGAAACATGACAGTTGTTTTCCATTCGTTTGATTTGTAAGAGCTTTTGATTTTGCCATTTGATAAAGGACTTTCCGTTTTGAATTTTCCTTGGAGTTCAGTATTGTTATTTTACTTCATACATGACTTTCTGAAAAAGAATAAAGACATTACCCGTTAACTTCACGTTCCACTGAATGATTCAAGTTCACTGACTGTATGAAGAATTATTGCAATTGAGGCAACTATCAACCAGAGAACAACTGTAGCTAATCGTATGCCCTTCGACAATTAGCAAAACCCGAACCGTATGGTAAGCTATAAAAAGACCCGGCATGACAAGAGAGGCGAAAGATACCAAAGGGACATTCAAACTCATTAGTCGAAAAAAAAACTGATAACGCCATGGCTAAAAAAGATCAACAGACAAACAACAGTACACAAAACACAACATAGAAAACTAAAGACTGAGCAACACGAACCCCACCAAAAACTGGGAGTGATCTCATGTGCTCCGGAAGGGAAGGCAGATCCTGCTCCACATGTGGCACCCGTCGTGTTGCTCATGTTAGTACTAGTAGTAATAAGTCTAATTCGGTATGTCACATTCGGGGAAAAGGGGACTGGATTGTAGTTACGACAATTGGAACATGTCCGCTATCATCTGAGAAACGGATATTCCATAACGGTCAACCAACTCGTGATGGAGTCCGTAAAATTTACGAATGGATGATTTCAACTTCACCACTTAAAACTCTTGGTTTAATAGCGTCCTTATAAGCAGCAACTCTCTATCAAGGAAATCATGATATGAAATACAAGCCCTGGAATATCGTATCAACTGGGAGATATATACTCCGTATGCAGGCGCTGCTGGAATGTTGCTACATAGAAATGGAAAGTTCACAATTGAGAAGCTGAAATCATCTCTTTTCTCGTAAAGTTTTGTTTTCAACCGACCCTCATTGTCAATTTCTAGATATGAGGTAGACTTAACTGTATTTGTTGTATCCTTTATCTCAAGTTCGATAGGATAGATGCGTTCAACATAGTCACCAAATTTTGAATTATTTAGTGAGAGAACAACATCTATATAGCGAAAAGTAAAGTTCAAGGATACTGCTAACTTCTTTTCTTTCTTCCTAAGAAGTTCTTGTATGAAGTCAGCCTCAGATGAATTAAGGAACAAGTCGGCAAGAAGAGGGCACAGTTGGCTCCCATGGGAATGCCGATTGTTTGTTGAAAACCACGTCCTCCTAACGCAACAAATATGTTGTCAATCAAGAAATCAAGCATATTGATACTGATTTTTTACATAGTAGGATTTATCCCTCCCTAAGACAAGATATTTGTATCTACATTGGTCATTCTTTTTTATGAAACAAAGCAGGACCAACTCTTTCAATTTATCACAAAATGTGAAACAAGTCAAAAGAAAAAACCAACTATCTGATTTATGCTAAAAGCATTTAACAATTAACAATTGTGACAGACAGTAACCAAACGACAACCATTTGAATTACCGGTTCCTGACTTCTGACAGTTGCGTATGTCAACGTTTATGTGTTCCGCCTAACATAAGTTCTAAAAAATTCCATAATATGTGTTCCTCTTGGAAAACGTGTCCGTAAGGATTCTGTATGGATCAAATACTGTAATACGTGTTCAAGTGGAAATAATATTTCAGAATATATCTTCCTTTTGGAACTCATATTATGAAGGAACGTCTATTTCTTGGCACATAATAAAGTACGTAGCGGGTTAAATATGCTCGTAAAGCTCGAACCCTACACCAACCTGGGAGAGTGGTGTGACAGCAGAACACACGATCAAACTGAAAACATACGTTGATCAAATCTAGTCCATTTAACATGAAGGAAAGGATAAAACAATAACAGATAAGTTTGCTTTATATCTGTAGTTAGAACAACAAATTGACAATGAAGATTGATTGCGAACTAATCTTAAAGAGAAATAGATGATTTCAATTTTCCTGTAGTGAACTTTTCATTTGTGTGTAGCAAAATTTCAGACGCTCCTGCATAGTGAGTATTTATCATCTTGTCGATACGATATCCCAATGCTACTTTTCCTCTCTTGATTCCCTCGAAAGAAGGCTGCAGCTTACAGGGAAGTTTATACAACATAGCATTACTATCATGTAGATGAAGTCAACCCTTTGCACGCCATCATAATATGATTGACCGTTATCGTGATATCTTTCTGTATCACAGATGACCAATGATTTGTTTTAACTTAAGGCCCAATCCAGCCCTCTTTTCATCCATTGAAACATCGAATTTTTCTTGCCATGAACAACCATAACGATGCCACTAGTAGAGCAGGGAATATATACACTTCCGGAGCTCATGAGTTGACTGGCGGGTTTAAGTGGGGATAATGTTTCTCAATCTTTTGTTTTCTGTGAAGTGTTTTAGAACTGATTTTGTCTTTCGTCGGGAATTCATTTTGATTTGAGTATTAACGAAGGTAAATCCAGAAAAAGCGATCTAGTGCGCCTACTTTAAAAAGTGATATTTTCATTACAAGTATCTAATAATGACACAATACAAAATATCGGCTCGGATTGACAAAATAGTTAAAACTCTATTTAGAGATGGCTTGGAATTCATTCAGTCATAAGAAAACAACTAACCAGCATATCTGAAAGGTGTCGGATCGTCTAAAATTGACGCTACTGCTAATTGGTTATTAATAACTAATCCAATTCCAAAATTTACCGCCTTGTTTCCTGGGCATAGAACAAGATTTGCATATTTTATTCAATAAACATAAAGATTTAAATTATCACATTACAAATATATCTAAATTGTACCCACCAACATTCAACAGTGATGATGAATAGTATATATAAAGCATGTTTATTGTGTTTTAGGAAGCTCTAAAAGACGGTTGTAATCAAATGGAATGGGGAGCGTATAGCTGGAATACGTCAGCACTTGAGTTTTATAAACGACAAGGTGCTATAAATATGACTGATACTGAACAGTTTCATAACTACAAACTAACTTATGAAAGTATGCATACGTTTGCCAATTCTGGAGAAAAAACTGGATGATTCAAATGGTGAAAGATTACTATTGTACCGTTAACGTAGACATTTACATACATCTTACAGGCAATAACCGTTTACTCGTGTATTACAAATTTATTTAATTATTTAATTCTAGCGTTATAATCTATAGTTCTCTCTTTAAACCGGCTCTGATCACTTTAGTAAATTCTGATGCATCACAAGCTTTTCAAATGGCGACTGTGAACCAGGCTTCATCTCACGATTAAATGTTCGGAACATTTCACTTGAAAATTTCTTTTAAATAATAAGAGAAAAAGATGCCTCCATTTTACATCGTTAATTGTAGGCACATTATGCGGTTCAGTCGCAAAAATTACCTAGTCTATATTGTTCACACCTGAATGTTTAAGGAATACACTTAAGATAACTGAGATGTCGCCTTTGCATCAGTTTGGCACTTGTGACAGTCGGCTAAACAGTGCGCCTTTTTATACTGGATTTAATCAGACTATGCAACCCTTTATTTTTTTTTAAAACGTTTTTAAAAAAATCGCTTTGAAGATTGCAATCCTTATAAAAAAAAATAAGAGATGTTGTTTTGTTGCTAACAAGACAACTATCCATCAAAGACCAGACGACATATACCGGAATATGAACAACAACATATCCGTTTATATCAATATTTTTGAAGACCTGACTCTACCGACATTTTTGGAATAGTCTATGTTACTTTCTGTTTGAAACTTTGCGAAAGAAATTGTTTTGTATTTATATATCTGACATCGGTGGTATCAACATGCTATTTAGGGTATATACATGTAGTACCAGGTTTTACATCGACTCCTTAGTAAGAAGATTTTTGCTGAAGTTGAGGTATAAACAGTTTTGACCCCTTCCCAATCCTGATCTCCTTTCTATAATCTAATCGACAATCTGCATATTATGCTTTCACAGCTGCTTTACAGAAAGCAAGGAAAGAATGGAGATTTTTGGGAAATGAACATTCAAACTGGATGTAATGAGGTACAGAATGTAGAACTTGTCATGTTTCTCTGCTCGTTATTTGGCTATCCGTCTTGCTACGATAATATGCTTTCATGTATTCACCACAAAATTCTTAATAATATTATTTGAATGAACCTCGGGATACAATCTCGTGTTAAGAGTTTTCTAGATTAAGGTTAAAATGTCTGGGATAAACCCTAGATTCTTCTGGTCTTATTCTTCTAGAACTACAGAATTTCTTGAACTATAGTATAAACATATATATACTGGTTGTATAGTTTTAGATTATTTAGTATTTTCCAGTAAAAATGGTTAATCAAGGGGTCGTTACTCTAGTTTCTATTACTAATTTACACTTTTCCTGGTGAAGTCTGTTGACATTTAATAAAATAAGCCGTTGAAAAATAAAAATAAAAAGATTCACAATGAGATCATCAATATATCTTTTTTATCGCCATTTCTACTTTTAATAGACTTTAATTTCATACCAATTTTACGACAATTCTGGAGTTTACTAAGAACATTCATTTTCATTAGCCTCTTGATTCTTGATTTTTGGTGTTTTTTTAAGGATTTATTTTAGGTTTATTACCTTTCACCTTTTGATAATTTTGGGATTTTCTTTTATTTGATTATGACATTTTATTTTTCAAAAATGTGCATATGGTCCTACAAATTAAATTTGGTATCATGTAAAGTATCTAGAGAAAGTTTAAATGAATTCAGTAAAGTATTTTAAAGATATGCCACCAAAACCAAAATTGGTATTGACCAGGAATGAAAAAGTACATTTGTAATGACCAATAATGATATGTATAACAATACGTATCAAAGGTTTCTTACTTTAATCCGGCGTATTATTCGGGATAAAATAGAAACACAAAGTACAAGTTAACGTTTTGAACTTTATATATCTTTCTTTCTCCATGTGAAATATTTGTATATTGAATAAGCATTTGACATAGGACAGTCATCTATTTGGGAAATGCATGCCTTTGTATCTATACTTTATAGCTTATTATATTTAGGAGAGGTCTATCTAAGGTGTAATATCGTGCATGTGTCTGATCCTTTTTGCGATAAGTATACATGTAATAGCAAAAGAAACATGTAGTTAAATGAAACAAAAAGTACATTCTCATGTTTGATATTATTACAGTTTTTGGCAACACAGTTTAATTGAAGCATAATATATAATACGTTCGTCGGATATCAAGAATTCTCTGAGATTGCTCTGACGCCTGAAAGTTTTTTTTAGGAATTGTTCGGGTCGTGGGACGTCAGTACGCAGTCCATATAGAAAACATGGAAATTGCGGACCAACCTTTGGGCGGCAAGTTTCTATCTCGAAATCGTAACAGATCCATTTTCAAGTAGATAAATCATATATCATTCGATTACTGAATAGCATTGAGTTGAAAACCGAAATTGGGAGTTAAGATAATATAATATCGAGGATCTGCCATGAATACAAGATATTCTAAATAACACAAGATATTGTTGCTTTCATCTGTATCATAGAGTTGGTGCTCTTGACCAGCCTAATATTTTTGGGGGATCCAGTTTGGGGGTGATGATTTTAAAGAGCTTCAAATTGTTACAAATAAATAAAAATGTCTTGATAGATGTTTATTTTGAGCAACATTATTATGCAAAAGCCCAGGAAAAGTTGGACTTTTTTCTAACTGAATATCCAATGAACATTTCATTCTATTTTCCTCAAAACATGAGATAAATTGATATGTAATAGTAGATACATAAAGGCTAAACAACAGTAGACAAACAAATAAAAAATTCAACGGCTCTTATCCTTTGGAACAAAAATTTTGAAAAAAAGAGACGAAAGGGACTATTGGCAGCTATTCTGGCAAATTTGAACAAAATTTAAAAAACAGACGTTTAAAACCAAAAACATACTCAAAAACGAAAACAGACATGAAAATATACAGACAGACGTCAAGAACGAAAAAAGATATAAAATTAAAAAAGACAAACGTTTCAATAAAAACATACATCAAAAACGAAAACGGACTACAACAGAGGTCAAAAACAAAAACAGACGTGAAAAGAACAAAAACAGACATCAAAAACGAAAAATGAACTATCAAAAACAGACGTCAAAAACGAAAAACGAAAGCAGACATAAAATTAAAAAACAGACGTTAGAAAATTCAAAACGGAGGTCAAAAACGAAAACAGACAAAATACAAGAACTAACAGGTATCGCCACTGCAACACACTAGAGGTCGCGCCGATGGTAAAAAGGTCTTTCCGGTCCCAAGTCGATTTCTAACTCGATCCGGCACAAGTCGTTCCCGCCCCAAGTCGTTCCGGCCAAATGATAAAATAATTAATTGGGGTCGGATCGACATGAAAGCGCGCCGATTCCATCCAGAATCCTTTGAAAATGGCAGTAAATAATGCGGTTGCCCTGTTGAGACAGGCACCTGATCTGATAGGAAAAGCTGCAACTGAGATTGGTAAAAGCAGTCTACAATGTCATCCTCTGCATTTTATGAACAACAGCAAAGGTGAACAATAAAAAATGGTGCTTTTGACGCATTTTCAAATTATTTTTATCAAAGGAGAAATTCATTGATATTCGAATTAGTTTTTCTGAATATTTTAAATATTTATTTTAATCTTTCATATCGAAATATATATTATTTTTTAATGTCAAATACTTTATGTTAATATCAGTTTATTACCTTTAATGTGTAGTGACAATATACAGTCTATAGCATTTATGTTGATTGCGATTTTATTAATACTTTATATTAAAAATGATTATGATAAAAAAAACTGTTAAACATATATATTACAAAAGTTAGTGATACCATCGGCGCGACCTCTAGCGTGTTGCAGTGGCGAAACCTGTTATTCGTTTTTGACGTCTGTTTTTTTTTTAAATTTATGTCTGATTTCGTTTTTGATGTCTGTTTTTTTTTTTATTTTAAAGTCTGTTTTTTTTTTATTTAATGCATGTTTTCGTTCTTGACCTCTGTTTTTAAATTTTTAACGTCTCTGTAAATTTTTTATGTCTGCTCGTTTTTTATGTTTGTTTTTTATTTGAACGTTATTATTTTTTTTGTTTAATGTCGGTTTTCGTTCTTTACCTCTGTTATTGTTTTTGACCTCTGTTTTTATTTTTATGTCTGTATGCTTTTTTTATGTCTGTTTTTTTATTTTTTATTTTAATGTCGGTTTTCTAATTCAATGTATGTTTTCGTTCTTAACGTCTGTTTTCGTTTTCTACATCTGTTTTTTTTTTTTTATTATTTTTTAACGTCTGTTTGTACATTTTTTATGTCTGTTTTTGTTTTTGAAGTCTGTTTCTGGTTTAAACGTCTGTTTAAATTTTGTTCAATTTTTTCCCGAATGGCTGCCCATAAGAGACTTCATGTCTTCTTTGACTGTCCATGACGTTAAAATACTAAATCCCTGGTATGTGTTTTAGTTGATTTTAGTCTCTGATGCATGATTTTTTATTATTAATTGTGTTTGGCTTTTAACTAGCTGTCAGTAACTGCGAGTACTCTCAAATCGTACTTTCTCGTTTATTTGACCTGTTGATACTAATTGTAATGCTTTTTTGTTATTTAATGTTATTCAGGGTTATATCTGGTCTATAAACCAGCTTTGATAAGTGTTTGGTATTACTATACATTTTCACTTCTTCGTACTATGAACATCAAAATTATTTATTTTGTTAAAATATTTCCTTTCTCTATTTGAACTGTACACGTATACCTCACAACAAAATTATTTTCATTAACCTGTGTTTAAAGTAATTGCAAATGGCTGATGTTTTTGTTCGAGCATATTGTTTTTCTTAAATTGTTTAACATTGCATAGCGGTATAACATGTTACTATTAATATTCTTCCCTTAGAGTATTTATTTTGTATTTACATTGTATCATAGGTCAAATGTATTTGTTCAGTGTATGTTCACTGGTGTTTATATGTCCTTTGATTGAGTTATGTCATTTCAGTTGATATTTTATAGTGTGTCTTTCTATGTTGTGATGTTACACTA